TCGCCCCCTTTCCCCCTTTCCCCCTTCTCCGCTCAGACTCAGACCGCTCCGCTCACCGCCCAGCTCAGTCCCTCAGTCAGTCGGTCCCGAGTCTTTGTTCCGGACGCAGTGCACAACACCCGCATCTCGCTCGAGTCAATCTCGCATCAACCACCAAACGGCGACTTCCAAAATGGTCCGAGCAGATGATAGGTAAGTTCGAACACTGATAAACATATTTTAACATGCTACTTGCTTCGTAACGTAGACAACTTTGGTGTTACGGTTCCGGGCGACAGCCATAACTTAACCATGCAAGCCAGCTTACATGACTTAACGCATTCCTCATTTTGTTTATCCGCCACCTTTTCGCTTCCGAATAGTACATATAATAACTCCAAGGGTGAAGTAGGTGTATGACTCTCATCTTTTCCCTGAGTTCTACTGAGTTCCCACTCGTTCCGGCGCAAGAAGGGCGCAGACTGTAACAACGGTGAATGCGTTTCTTAACTCATGTATTTTTGGTTTTCGTCTAGGTTGAAGGCTGAGATGAAGGAGATGGCGAGGTCTCCACTGCCGTACGCACAGTAAGCACTTCTTTATCGGTTTTCTCTAGACGGTCGCATATTCACTCTGACATGGCGATAAGTTACAGTAGTATTGTTGGTTATGTTCACACCGACATGTTGGCTCCCATTTATACAGAGTGTGATCATGAAAAGACTGGGGGTGTGGGGATGTATCACTGCTGGTTACTCGGGACAACTTGGCTTTCAGGTGGACTTCAAGAATCTTGAGTTTGCAATGAAAGCATGATTCTTAGGGAATGTGGTGAGAGGGGGAGGGGGGTGCTCTCGTCTTACAGCTCACTAACGGGCCTCATCGGGGATGGCCTGCGGGCATCGCGGGGCGTTAGGTAGAAGTACGAAATAATCTAGGGTCTGTGGGCCAATAGTGTATTTCGACTAACGGGGGAAGAAGAATAGCGGGTAGAACATAAAGGTTCCTGATTGGCCGAACGCTTACTCATACTACCGGCGTGACGTAGAGGCGGGAAGCTCTTGGCTAATCGGTAACGTTTATGTTATACCCGCTCTTCTTCTCCTCCGTTAGTCGAAATACACTGTTGCAGGGTGGGTTTCGTCTCGTTATTTCCGTTCGGCCAGCAGGGTCTGGTTGATGCGGAGGGAGGGCACACGGCGCGTTGCCCCGTGTGAGATTCATTGTGGGGTCTAGGGACATCTTTCGAGGTCGAGAATGATGGCATGACGGTTGAAGTCATGATCGCGCCATTAATGCTCTCTGATTTCTTTTACAGCGCGTGTCCTAGGGCCGACAACATTCGGAAGTGGGATGGGGTCATTGAAGGCCCCGTGGACTCACCCTACGAGGGGGGTAAATTCAATTTTACCATGTACTTTTACTACGACTACCCATTTTCCCCTCCAAAGGTAAGTGCACTGTTTTTTTTAAAGGCCATTATCGGAAAGTGGAAATGCAATCTCTTACACCGAACCACCAAATTAAAGAGACACTTCTGAGTGGTTCTTTTTGTCCTTGACCCAAAATTCTGGGTTCTGATTTTTGATTTTTTTTTTTTTTTTAACTCTCAAAACTTAAAGGTATTCATGAAATATGAACCCAATCCAAATCTGGGCTCTGTAGCTCAAATGGTTTAGGAGATATAATTTGTTAAAGTTTTGAGGGAAAAATAGCAGCTTTTGAAGGTGCTATAGGCATTACTCTATGAATCTGCCCTGTGAGGTTAAATCTGACTACACCATTTGAAAGAGGATAAAAAACTGATTCTAAACCACCAATGCCAAAAAGTTGGATTTGTGTTTTCTACCCTTCGACTACGGATATCAACAAAATTTAGCATATTAGCGTAACTCCCATAGCAAAAATATATGGTCTGCAATTGTCACCAAATTTGGTGTACAGCTTCTTCTAAGTGCCCTTAACATTCTCTAATTTTTGTGGGAAGGTAATATTAAAAAAAAAATAAAACTTTGTTTTAACATAGTTAACATAGAAATACTAGTAAAAAAATATTTTTTTTTAATATTACCTTTCCACAAAAATTA